AAAAAAAAAAAAAGATGCCTAAAAGCTGTTTTCAGAGTAAGGAGATGCTGATGGCAAAAACAAGGAAAGTTCTTACCTTCCATTCGTGGCTCCATCTGGCTATGTAAGATGTGTTTTAAGGCTGTTAAGCTTGTTTGTGTCTGTAATTTTGCTCAGCAAATTATGAAGCCTGGAACGAGTTAACGAGCCCACGGGAGAACGGACTGAACAAAATGGCAGAGAGGAAAGAGCACAAATTTCGAGGCTTCCCAGGGGCTTCCTGGAGGCTTCCTGGTCTTTCATATACTGTATGGCCACAGCAAAGGAAATGGCAATGTGTAATGATATAAATTGCGCCTGAGCCTGAACCCAAGTCTGTTACATTTGCACAATGTAATGTTCGAAATTTCACTGACACGAGTTATCTATTTGACAACCCGTAACTGAAATATTTATTTATTATTTTTGTTCTGTTTTGGGGGGTGGTCCGTAGAGGGGATCTGTATTGGTAGTACGTTGACCGGTCCATAGGTAGTCCACAGACCTGGTCTGTAGTGGGGTTTCGCGAACCAGGGGTCAGTGTTTTCGGTCTACCCCCCCCCCCCCGACGGAGGTAACTCACTACACTGGTCGGTTGCTCGTCGCCATAATTGGGCGATCTTTTACATTTATCACCNCCCCCCCCCCCTGGGGAGCAGGTTGGAGATTCTGGGCAAGGAATTCCTCCTTTCAGAGGCATCATTTGAAATAAAATAAAACCTCAAAATAATAAAATGAACTTGATAGTACAAATAAAACAGAGCCAACAATCATGCAAAATTACTGGAACAAAAGAAAGTATTCACTTAAGAAAAGAGTTCAACACCCACAAGACTGATTTTGGACACCAACATGGCTACCATTTCATTGGTACACCAATATGGCTGCCGTGACATCATGTGAAAATACTCTACCCTGGGGGTGTACTCCCAGAAAAATTGGGTGGGACTGAGACAGATTCGCAGTCCACAAACACACAAGAAAGTGAGTTAGGCTAACATTCCGCTATCTTGACCTAACGCTTGGTTAATAGAGGATTTGGCTGTGTCTCACAAGGACTGGGAACTACCACATTCACAAATTTTGATTGGCTAGATTTTCCCATCTAGACTGGGATCTAGACCCGTTACATTTTGTAGAGAATTTTGACCTCAGTCATGTGTACAGTCCTCACTGCGTTTGGTCTGTACTCTAGACCTCAGTCAAGACTTAGCTCTTATTAACTGAGCAGGAGGTCTATATGGGAGAATCTTGACAGAGATCATAGGTACAGACCAAACGCAGCAAGGTCTGTACATACGACTGAGGTAAAGATTCTCCCAAACAGAGCGTCTAAGCTCGGTTAATAAGACATTTATTATGTGGCAAACAAGCACAATTTAATTTGTTTATGTAACTGGTTTGTACTAGCTGACATTTTGCTTGCGAACAGCGATGAGCTGAACTTAATTTCCAGAGTCAGTCATTGAAAATAGTTTGTACTGTAGGTTGGGCATTGAGCAGAGTCCCAGTTAATGTTGTGGTTTGTCAGTCGATGATGTACAGCAATGTGGTTGTTGTCATCACCATTTCTCATGGCTCATTCTTGATTGGTTATTTGAATTATTTCAGTCCTTATGATCCATCAAATATTTTCGCTTGCACACAACTGGTCTAAACATGCCAGGTGACTGAAAATGCCTCAGCTAAAACTGGAGAATACCCCTGATTTTTAAAGCTGCATGTGTTGCGAAAAAGATTTGAAGGATAATAAACACAATAGCCTCTATTTAGTGTGAAAATAGCCTCAGATATTTGTCTTTGGACAGGATCTGTTCCTGGAAGCTGACAGTTTTCCTTGAGCTATGTTCTCAAAACAATGTGTGTGACTCGGTACAGATAATGTATGCAGACAAAATATCCAAGCCTATTTTTGGGCCAAACGGAAGCTACTGTTTATATCTAACCAAATAAGGGGATGGAAAGCAACTGGCAACATTTTCTAATAATTAACTGTCAGCAGTGACCTGCCTATGATTTCAGAGGCTAGCAAAGCAATCATATGGTTTTTCCAGAGGATTCTTCTCCTGCATGTGGGCAATTAGTGGTTAACTCTAGAAGTAAAACCACAAAGAATGTTGTCATTAGTAAACCAAACCACAACTTCCCAATCAAGTTGTAGGTTTGATTTAAATGAAACAACTGGTGTTGAGTACTTGTCTTAAGCTTGTCACATGCAGTGAAGATGTAGAGTTATTTTTAATTTCTTTCATTTTATAGTTTCTTATTTCAGCTATTTTATATTTAGTTAATTTTTGGTAATCTTGTCCTCTCACCCCTGCCCACCCACCCACCCCCCACCCCCACACCACTCCGGCACAGTTACAAATCCCATTCCACGTGGCCTAGACATTTACAAAATATGAAATTATGCCAGTGGAGGATGGGACTGCAGCCTTTTTGCTTTCATAAGTAATTGATATACATTTTTGTTATATGGTTGTGTCTCACAAGAACTGGGCACTACTGAATTCACAAATTTGATTGGCTGAAATCTATATTGACCACGGTCTAGATTTTCCCATCTAGACCAGCATCTAGACTGGTGACATTTTGCGGTGAAAAAGTTTCAAACTAAAATACCAAAATGTTGACTATTTTCTTCTAAAAATATTAGTGGAAGTGCCAAAAAGCCTAATAAGAAAATGAAAGTAAAGAGGATGAGCAAACTTTGGCAGAATTAAGTTCAGCTCATCGCCCCTCACAAGCAAAATGTTGGCTAATACAAACCAGTTTCATTGAACAAATTAAATTTTTCTTGTTTGTACTCATGACCTCAGTCAAGATTCTCCCATACAGATCTCCTGCTTGGTTAATAAGAGCTAAGTATTAACCAGGTGAGAGTAGAAGAAGAACAAAGATTTTGAAAGTATTTTTTGTTGAATTTTAAGGGACTCAAAGCTTGCTCAATAAGAACAGGTGACTTGTAGTAAATTTAGAAGTTGGAGAGATGAAATGACTGTATTTGTGTAAACAGACAGTTAACCATGGAAGAAGGTGAGTTAATTGCAATCTGTAAACAACTTAACTAAACAACTCCTGACCAATTAATTGTCATTCATATTAATGAAAGCAAAATGATGCTATCCACAAGAATTTGTAAAAATCCATGCTGATTAAGATCAGATATCCAAACTACCCTCAAGATTATGAATTCCATTTTTTAAACTTAATGAACCAACCAACCAACCAATCAATCAATCAATCAATCAATCAATCAATCAATCAATCAATCAGTCAATCAATCAATCAGTCAATCACAAAACTTTATGAATGTGTCCAAATTTAGCCAGCCAAGAGGAAACACCGTTCTACTAATTGTGGACAATTAATATCAATAAAATGTCAATGGATTTGAGAAGTACAAGGTAGGTGTTGTAATTAATTTAACTATCAAGCTTGTGATTTATAGTTGCTTTGAGGATGCATGTCTTTTTATAACATCTTACATGATTAAACACCAACCACTGATAGAGTCTCAGTCAGGGGTGGCTGCTAGGGAACCAAGCCTCTAGGTTTTGGGCAAAAATGCTAGGTTCAAATGGCTGAATTGTATGTTATTCACTCATTCATTCATTCATTTATTTTTATTTTTGGTTGGTTCATGAAAAAAAAAAATGTGTCATTTCTTTGCTCACAAGCCGAAATTCACCATTTAGTGCTGGTGGATGAAAATGAAACATTTTTTTATGAACCTTTTGGTGTTATATAGATGGAGGCAGCATTGCTAAGTGGTCAGGGGACCAGACTTGAAATCTGGAGGTTGCAGGTTCAAGTCCCGCTCTGACCACCTAACTACAGTTGTTTCTTGGTAGACCCTAGTTCAACTCCTCGGTCTTGCTTGTAAATAGCCAACTGGTCTGCCTCCCGCCAGATTGGATTGGTAAGCCTATTATGTTTACTTGATATATTTGTTTCTTTCAGTTTTAGTGGCATGCCTGAGAACCAGTTAGGTATTGCTGAGCGCACTGACCACTATAAACAACATTTGTACTTTTTGACATTTGATATATTCAATGTATTAAACATCACCGAAACCTGTTGTATTCCCTTGAAATATATGGGAAAAACTGTACAATGCATTCTGCAGCGTTTGTAGGTATCAAAGAAAATGCCATTTGGTTAGCATTCGTTGTTTTTCTTATAACGTCCAACCAGGTATTCCTTAGCGTGTGAAAGCTGCAAAAGTAGTAGTCGAAAATCCGTTTGCAGGGGCTACACGTTCATGTAACTATGACTGAAAACTTTTATTCGTGCAGTGGATATGTTTTCTGTCGTCCCAAAAATGGAACATACACATGTATGAACTAAGGAATCGTTTGAATTAGCTCGAATGAATGTATTATCGTGTCTCTGTAGGACTGAAGGTGAATTGATCGTGCGTTATTTTGGTTTAATGATAACCATGGTAACGGAGTCTTACAATTATGCAAAACATCAGTTCAGTTACTTAGATTATATCGCGTTATTTCACAAAGAAAAAGAACTTCATGTTATTTGGATATCAGGCCCATGCTTAAATTTACTGTAATAGTGGGTTCTTTCTCTGTTTGTTTTTTAGTCTAATTTTTTTTTTGTAGTTAGCTCTTTACTGTTATTAACCAGCTCAGTAAATGAAACGACTTTTTGTTTCTATATGTAATTTGATAGTTTTTTTTTTAAAAAAGCAATAAGTAGTTGGAAAATTGTTGCATACGTGCGGCTTTTAGTTCGTAACTCGTCGTGGGATAAAAGAAATATCGTGTTTTGTTTGCGCTTTGTTGACTCAAAGAAAATAAATGCTGTATTGCACGCACTCAATCGCTTCAGAGGCGAATTCCAAACGAACCGTGTTTTCTCTAGGATACATAAAAAAGCAATTACGATTTATGCTAATTGCTCTTGTGTATCAAAAAAGGTATGCATGTGTCAAATATGTGGTTATGTTAATGTATGAGTAATGGCTTAAATAGGAGCGTTGGACAAGATGTTGTTTTGTTTTGTTGTGCGAGATTCTATAATTATCAGAATCCTCGATTGAGCTGTATTATAGATTCGTTAACCCTTTTACTAAATTACTGATCAGTGAATGGTGGAAAAAGTTATTTTTCATTTGATCAATCAGAGTCGGTCGAGTGTATGTTATTTGCTACTTAATTCTTGATGATCTATTCCCTTTCGTATCAAATTCTTCTTATAGCTGTAGTATACATTTAGAGGTATCTTGGCGTTTTGTGGCTTTACCTGTCACAGTGGTGTTGATGTAACGTCGTGTGTAGTTAGAGGAGCGGGGAAGGCAAATTCCCGGTTTAAGAGGTGCTTGAAAGTTACCACCGGGTTGAGTCACGCTCGGTCGGCGTGTGGGTGTCTGTAGAAAATGTTGTTAACCACGCCACTAATGCGAGACGGAGTATGTGTGGGAGTCGCTGTACACTTATCGATAGAGATGAAACTACATATTGAGACACTTCTAAAAGTACTTCAAGTTGGAAACATTGAATTGTTAGCATTTTGAAAGCCTTCAGTTGTGATGATTTTTGTCTTAAAGAAAGTGAAAGCGGAGCAAAGTGTCGGTCGACGAAGAGATTTTTGTTGCATGGTAGTACTCTTAATACTCCGATTCAACCGATTTCCAGAATATGTAGGGGTTCTATTGCATAGAATTCAAGATAGAAGCTCAGTAAAAGCCGGCTGTTTGTACGAGTGCCAGCGACCTCAATAAAAATTGCGAACTTTGAAGATATTAAATCTTTCTTCTGCTCTTTGCACATACACACACACGTACCTATGATTTAAGAGCTTTACTCAAAGATTATCAAAGATTAAAAAGAAAACCCTTACAGCGGTCAGTTGAGTGGAGTCTGATGGAATTAACTTCAGGAATAATGGAACGGAAATTGTTCTCAATAATCAGTCATTCTGAACCGCAGATGACCAGTGAAATATTTTCCACTGAAGTGGCAACGACTCTTTAAATTAACCAAATTCAGACCGGCGGCGTACCGTTGCGGACCTTTGAAAGATTGACTGGCAAAAAAAAGACAAAAAAAAAACCGTCTGTCAGGCCGATTTTCTGTTGTGTGAGACACAAAGTGAGAGTGTTTCATGTACAGTTATCTGCTTTTGTAAAGAAATGCGACGGTTAAAAATTATGCGTTCATTTTTAATTTAATTTTAAAACATATTTTCTGAAGCAGGCCACTGAATCAACAGGTTTATGAGGCTGACATAGATAACACTTATTAATAGTTCCTGCCAACGTGTGATGCGTAATATTTCCATCATGCGAAAATTTTGCCTTGTTTCCATTTAATTTAGCCGATATGTTTTCTGTGGAAAATACTTGTTCAAAATATCACGTGACCCTGACAGCTGTTCGGAATCACATGATTTGCAGGTGAAAGGAATCCAATGTTTATTTCGCTTTGTTTTCGTGTTACTTCTATGGCGCAATACGCGTGTGCTTAAAATAAATACTGGAGATTATTTGGTGGCAAATTTGTGCATGTATTGGCCTTGCCATTACACAAGTATGGATAGTTCTACATTGACTTTAAAGTGTTTAACATTTACTAATTAGATCTAGTGTTGTTTCTACGTTGGGAGCCATTTTGCTGAAATGGAAGCGTGGGCGGTGATGCCAGTGTTATGGTTTTAATTTGACAGTTTCGGATCATTTTGGCGAATGCAAATGTGTCTTCATTTATTTGCCCCAAAGCTGTTTTCATCATAATAACATCATTCCAGCAAGGTGACTTTCATTTCCCTAGCTACTTATTATCAAACACACAGATCAGCATTTTCGCAAAACATGGAATCTTCGAAAACGATTTCAGAAGGAACTTTCGATTTTCCAAAACTGGACAATCGTCGCTCTTCCAACCTTAACGGTGACAGTATTTTGAAACAAAATTCTCTCGTCGGAAATTTCGAAGGCCGTACATCGTGTCTTTCGCTGAGTCGTAATTCGCTGGAATCGCACGGAAGTGTTTACGAATGGTCGATCGGCGAAAGCAGTTTTGGCGGGAGTTTTGGTCACGATGAAACGGATGGCAACGTTTTTGGCGGGAATTTTCGTTCTTCCGCGACAGACGATGTTCAAGTTGTTCCTGATTTCAATGACATTTTGGAAACACTTCATGTTGACATGGATAAAAGGAGCACTCCATCCGCTTCGTTTCTCACTGAATCCGAAACATCCACTCGCGCTCACCAGGATCAAAATTGTGACAATTCTGTTACAAAAAGACGGCACTCTGAGAGGGACGAATTAGAGATTTATTTTCCTTGTGTTCTAACTCCAATTCCAGTAGATCGCCTGTACAGTACACTGTCTGATGACTCGACAGTATTCAAATTCCCAGCAACTTCGGGTGAATTCTTGGCCGATGACAAATCAGAACGTGGCTTGTTACATCAGTCAGACAGTTCTCACATTTCCATCTCGACAACGGAGGTCCAGCATAGTTTAGAATCATTTGGTAATTTTAGCGTGTTGTCGTTACCTTACGGAAGCCAAGTACAGTTTGATGTTTCCGCCAATATGTTGGAATTGACGTCTGAAACATGTAAGAAACAGGACCTTTTTGATACGCGCAGTTTAACACACGGGAAAGATTACAATACAAGTAAAGAAGAACATTGTTCACAGAACAGCTGTGGTCCATCGGAGATGGCTGAAAAGCAGATTTTACCTCCAACTGCTACGTCGGTAGAAAATAACTTTAATTTTCAGAAGTCTTTAACAAACATTTGTCACCCCGAGGCGGTGGATACGGCTGAAGTTTCCATGCAGCGACCAGTTGTTCAAACTTTTACCTACGCTTTACCGTTAGAGTTTAACACCGCCCTAAATTCTGAACTTCACGTCAAATTCCCGCCAAATTTGACGTTCGATGCCGATCTCTCCTCGATAAATCCCGTTTCGCTGGAAGAAACTTTAACAAACAGCTTCTTTTTTCAGAACCGTGCCAGAAAACTTGGCTTTGGAAATCCTGAGTTGGAATGCGGGAAGGCGCCGTCTAAGCATGGCAATGCAGTGGTTTTTAATCGTAGCACGGGTACATCGTCAGAAATAAAGGCCAGTCTCTACAGCGCGCCAGATAATTTTGGCGAGAGGAATTTTAAACCAACGAGACAACTGTCATGCTACTCAAACATTGACAAGTTTAAATCCAAGGCAACAACGAGCATTGATAACGAGAATTCGCCGCGCTTGACAAGAACATGTGGTAAAGCCAAAAACAGTCGTAGAACAAGATCAGCCAAGACCGAAAGATCACATAAAATTGGCCCCGATATACGTGACTTCCACAACGATATGGAAAAGCAGAGGAGAACTAACATGAAAACACGCTTTGAGAATCTCAGACTGTCAATGCCTGAATTGGGGGACAACGGGAAAGCTTCGAAAATTGTCATTCTGCAAAAGGCCCTTCAGTATATCGGGAAGCTAGAGCAGGAGTCAATTGAACTGGAAAAGAAGAAACGAGCAGAAAGGATTAGGAACATAGAATTGTTAGACAAACTGCAGACGATAACTTCGGGAAAGTGTTAGTCAATCGACCGACTGTTCGATAAAGTTGATAAAAGTTTTCTCACATTCAAAAGCAGCCATGTTCATAGGTATTTTCTCCGCTTTTGCGCCAGTCGAGATTCTCTACAAGAAGAAGCAGTACTGCAGAGTAATGAAGAATTTACAGTGCTTTTGGTGTTTTTATGGCTGTTGATGATTTGACAGTTGCTTCATTCGTCTACTAAAAGTCGTCGTTTTAACAGTTATGTCAAATTATCATTTACAATTTTTCTTTGCTCATCGGGATTGGAGAAGTCAAGCTTAATCTTAGCAAGTTTTGATTTTCTACAAATGCAATAGTGTTTTTTTTGTTCGCTTATTGTACGAGTTAGATTTGATACTATCAATGAATATTTTTTTCTTTTAAGTTTGAATTTTTATTTTCTTTAAAGATAATCAGTCGTTAGCTTTTTGACGTGTTATTTTTACAATCTTGGAGTATTATTTCATTTAGTAATCTATACAGTACTTTAATCTTTAATGATCAATTGCCGTGTACATGCATGTCTTGTCAAGAAGAAAGGTGTGGAGAATAAAAAAATAAATCATGTTCATCCAGGGGATGTGTCTTGATCTGCTACCAAATTCTCAGAATCAACGTCGAAAGAAATCTGTGCTGAACAGTAAGGAGAAGACAGATGTTGTCACGGCAACAGCACCCCGCATGTGTTACTTGCACATTATTTTAGCTGTTTCGTTTTGTAAATTCAATGCAAAACGTTAAAGAGATTATTTTTTCACCAGCTAACTAACTGCCAATGAAGAGACAGTGTATTACGTTTTATCGCTTAGGCCTGGTCTGGTGGAAAATAATTAAAACATTAGAAGATCGTGAAAGTTACTTGACAAAAATATGGCGAAATTTTCACCTGCTTCGCTAATCCCTAGCGTGTTTCACACATTTGTTTCTTTTTCTTTGTTATTATTGTTTTTTTACGTCGTATTTTAACCTTCCAACCTTGTCATTTGTTGATAAAACTTGACTTTGACTTGTGAAACTTCCGTGCTGTGCTGCCAAGTATCTGGTGCTTATCGGCTAAGCTGGAACACTTCTCAAGACAGCAGTATTATTGTTAAATTAATTACGAACCTTGTGGAACAACTTAGTGAAGCGGGCGGCGATTTTCCCTTCTGTCCCGTCTATTTAAGTAATTCATACTGAGTCTATTTTATCTCGTTTTGATGTTTCTTGAGTTAAGCTGAGTGACGTCTTGAATTTAAGTTTCCGGCGACCTTACTGGAAGGCGTATCAGGGAGGTCGAAACTTCCTATTTTGAATAACGGCGACTAATTGCTTCGCCTCTGATCAAAAATTAGGCAAAAGAGGACAGGTTGTCTGGCTGTGCGGCTTGTGCGTATCTGAAAATGTACACGGTCTGAATGTATTACCGCACACGTTGTAATGTTTTGTTAACTTCGTTGCACGACTTGCTTCTATTCCCCGACAGTGCAAGTGCTTATCGTTTAAACGGGTTAGTTCTTCCACAACCTCGCACTGATTATCTGAAGAGACATTTTTCGTACACTGGAACTCAGTTGTGGAACAAGTATAAGTAAATTTTTTCTACCTGGCCTCCTAAAAGCAGGGTTTTTTTTTCTTTTGGAATTTTTATTCTTTGATTGTAGTAAGGAAGGTAGGTAGCTAGTTGATTATCATAAAAAGACTAATAGAAATATCGTGTATAAATAAAGTTATCGTATCGTTTCGTATCGTTTCATATCGTATCCCCGAGCCTCAAAAGTTACCAGTCTTCTGCCAGCGATAGCTGACAAGATGCTTGGGGCTAACCTGGGATGGACTAGCGATTCCGAAAGAGTAACAATATTCCCAGTGAAGTGACCGGAATAGCTCAGTTTCGCCAGGCAGTATGGACCAGCAGCCTTGAGAATGCATTATCCTTTTTAGATATCACATTAATTGAGGGAACTAATTTTCGTGCATTGGAGTTCTAAATGAATTCCCACGTACTCAGTTAATTCACGCCACCAGCAACACGTTGTTTTGCGCCAATTTTTGATACCAGTGCCATTAAAAAGCCTTTAATTAGTTGTTCATCGCACGCTTTCCTCGTGCCTGTGGCTTTTTAAGTACCTCTCGTGATAAGGGTTATGTCGAATTGGAAAAATTTGCACCTGAAAAAGACCTCGTTTGTACACAGACACAGAGGAGAATAAACTCCCAGACGACAAGATTACTTAAGCTTTGTGTTCAATTTTGCGAGTTCATGATTCAAACGATGTCTTTACGAACTTTATGAAAACTGACATATTTCCGGTTATGTCCACTTGATTTTTTAATTAGCAATTACTAGCAGTTTTCGTGGTTAAAACCAAATGAAATATGGTTTCAAGAGAGGTGGCGCGACATTACGTTATGATGTGCGCGTCTTATCATAATCATGGTCATGTCATTAATTGAAACGAAGATTTTACATTAAATATAACAAATAATCGGGTTCACTCGATCAGTAACCTTGGATGAGTTGCCTGCACGGATGTCGCAGTTTTCTTGTCAGGATTTTGGTAAAACGGGGCAAATGTTTCTCCAATGATTTTCAGTTCTAATTTCTGTAAATAATAAAGAGCGATTATCAGAGGCAAGAACTAATTGACACGAACCTATAGCCTTTCATTTTTATTAATATAATTGACAAATTCTGCAAAAACCTGCTCAAGTCTTCTGATGGTCAAAAAGGTGTAAGTTCAACTGATAAACTATCACTATAACGTTGGTGGTAGAGAAATGATGACTCACAGAAAGAACACTCTGGTAAAATGAAGTCAAATGTTCTGTGAGCGATGTCACCAGGTTTAAGTACGATGATAAATCAAAGTGCGGCAAATTTGCCTAAATCTTGCCGTTGAATTTCTAAAAATTTGCTGCCTTTAAGCCAAAGTATAAGAGAGAGATTGCCAAAACGAAAAACAAGGGCGAAACATATTTATGACGTTAGTTCTTTTCTCCACGGCACGCTTCACTTTATCATGAGTACGTTTTCTGCTCTCACTTCTCACATTCCATGCATGCGGTGAAAATAAAGAAAGAATGGTTATTGACATATTGTGGCGGCATTGATGGAATTGAAGCGGGTGCTTTTGTGTAATATGTATACATTGTTTTCTTAAAGTCATTATTTAAATCTGCGATTCCATTAGCTTTGTGTTCGTTTTGGTCTTGGTATGCCTGCTTTCTAAAAAAGAAATTTTCTGTTCATAGTAGCAAAAAATAAGTGCAGAACTGAAAGACTTTAAGTCACTACTGCGCCAAAGTTAAACTCACTCTGTCGTTCTTTTCAGTAAATAGTTCTAAGCAGTGGTTGAAGTAAGCGATTTAGCAAACCAACGACGAAACAAGCTGTCTGATGACTTTTTGTTTTGGTGTAGAATTTTACCTTGACCTCAGGTTAGACAACTTTGAATACTTCGAAACTCGGAAACTAGACAACGAGAAAAGATCTCGCCAATGGCTGATTCGCAGAATCACTTTATCGGTGATTGTCAAGGCGCTGGCAGGACAAACTGCTGAAAACTGCTCTTCACGCTTGATATCAGTTGAACTGAGGTGTTCAAGTTTGGAGTTAAGTGTTAGTTTAGGGAAACGTTTGTTGTGTTTAATCTGTCAAAATGGTCTTCCTGTTTACGTTATATCGTTATTATGTTTATTTTCAGCTTTGACTGGTCAGAATTTGTACTAGGCGGGCGCTACACGGTTTATTTTGTCTAAAAAAATTGCTTTCATTTCATGTTCGCTATTAAACGTTCGTTCATTAATAACCAACACTTGATGAAGGTGCTCAATAAACGGCACTTAAACTTTCTTGCTTACAACCAAGGGCATATTGTAATATGAATTCTGAGACTATATTCAGTAAATGAAGTTTTCTGGGTTTTTTTCAAATGAATTCTCGCATCTCTTTGTTCGGCAGTGTACTGGAATTCTAGAGCTTCGGCCAGCGGACAATTCCAAGAACGTTTGGTCATTGATTCAAGTGTTGATTAAACAAAAAAATATATTCTAAATATTAAGTTTCATGCAAATTGTTGAATTGATGAGGGTAGATTCGCTGTTGTGTGGGAAGGTAAATTCCAGAGCTTCATCAGAGCTGTGTCACGCGCTGCCTTAGTGAACCTACTGTCGATATAAACAATAGTGTATATGCCTTCTCGCCGATATTGGATTCATTGAGTAATAAGTAAACGCTTAAGCTTGGGAGATTATTTACTTCAGATGTAGCTTCAGTAAAAGATATTCTTTTAGTTTTGTGTTTATGTGTTCTGTTCTTTATGTGTCCTCGGCTGGTGACCAATGTTATCGGCGCTCCACACCTGCACCTCTTCCTCTTAAACAACAAAAGAAACACGGTTTATGGTAATGTGTAAAAAAAAAACATTACACTAAAGCACCTTCGAGAGTATTTCGCTCCACTCCAGTTGCCGAGAGAATCGTATCATTTGGTTAGAAATGGTACAATTCCTCGGTGTTGCTAGTTTATGTGAAGGAAATTCGTCTTGATTTCGTGTTGCATTCGTGACATGGGGTCTTGTGGAGAAATGTTTGTAGTTTGGTTTAACTTTTCTGAGTTATTAGTAGTGTCTCTGTCGGTTATTAAGTACGAGCGATGAATCAGGTGCCTGTCTCATTTTAGGACGGAAGAGAGAATCAACTTGACAGGTCCAACTATAAACACGCGTTTGTCAAATTGTGAAGAGTTCTAATTAAACCCTGGCCATGGAGACGTTGTCGGAAACAAAGAAACTGGTGCCACCTTCATAATTCAACACTGGAGCGTGCTTTTTTATGTGCTCGCTTTTCCCTCGTGTTTTGATGGTAAATCACTTCCACCAGTTAAAACTAATTTCAGATCAGAGCAGATTTTAGCGAGCTAAGGTCAATATCCAGCCCAAGGTTGTGCCCAGCCACTTTGTGGTTCTCTCTTTTTTTGCAATTTGCCAGAGGTCTTTTGATCTCTTTGGACTTACACGAAACTTCTTGCTTCTCTGTTGGAACGCGCACAGTCATCTGACGCTCATTTAAATGGCTTTGTTTCCGCAGTGGGCTGGCCCATGGAAAGTTATTTGAATTTGCATTGTTTACCTGTAGGTCTTTTAAATACACGTGCGTCCGTTAAATCTCCACTCATTTGGAACAAACCATGCAACCGGATGAGCAGATTCGAATGCATCTTAACCCAAGCGATAAGATGATGATGAATCGCTCTTCACACTTTGACCCTCCACCATCTTCTTCGCCTCTTGCTTCTTTTAAAGACAAGTTCGAATTTCCAGCCTCGCAAGGCTTGTGGACTGCATTTTCGTTTCCTACCCCGCCAACTTCTCCAGTGGAATGCTGCAGCAACTGTCAAGAGGTAACGAGGGAGATGCGCTGGCATGCGGCCTCGGGTCCTTGGGGAGAGACGAGGGAAATATCGGACGATGAACTCGAAGTTGATGACGTTCCGTTCGAATTTGCGCGGGAACTGTTTGGAATGCGCGCCAAATCTCCCGCCATCCTCAATGACATAATGTGGAGTGGTGATCGTGTCAGGAGGCCAGATTCTACCACGGATTTCGAAACTAGGTTCAGCTTGTCTTCGACTCCGATATTTTTTGAACAGCCGATAAGCCACACGTTTGTGGAGCCTGAGGAGCTGTTTTCGTTTTCTTTGTTGAGCCACTGCCACGATCAGGCCGACGATATGTTAGCCGAGAGACTCGAGAACGATGGTGTTGTCTTTGATATACCAATTCAGGAGAATCCGTCAGACACAGGTATTCCTCTAGCCAAATGTGTTAATCAATCACCTTGTAATCTCTTACATTAAACTGTGAGCAACTTGCCAAAATCGGCGGTTTTTTAAATCTGCGGGTAAGCGTAATTTCGCTCACGTGTAAAATTTTACGTTTCTGTTTTGGTCTGTTGGTCAGTTATCCGAATTATTGGTCAAGTGCCACCAGATCTTATGTTGATTATGCTTTCAAACTTGCACGGTAACCATTAATCCTTCGCAATTTTGTGAACTAAGAACACCTTAAATGCAAGCTATGTTAGTTTTTTAAAGTTCAGACAATAGTTTTAGATTTCACAAAGATCACCACCAGCTAAGTAATCCGTTAGAGAGTAAGTTCTCATTGTTCAATGGACACGAGGAACTTGTTTGTTTGTTTTTTCCGCCTCAAAAGAATTTGGTTTTAGATGTCCGAAATGTTGTTATCGCAGTCCAGGGTCATCTTTGTCGCGTCTATCAAGTCTAACATTGGCACATTTTAACTTCACACAGACAAGTGTAAAGCTTTACGCATTTATTAACGGAAGACTTCTTCTTTAGCTAGTTGAGTTTAATTTAGTTATCATTTGCTTGTTTTTATTCGAGTACTTTTAAATATGGCTTTTATTAAGCTTTACGCAAATTGTGTCCTGCTGTTAATAAAGAATTCATGCCTTTGTCTTGCTTGTAATTAAAAGTGAGATGTAAAGAACAGAAAAATAGCGGAATCACTGTTGGATGGGGTGATATTTTTCGCTGACTTCTTCAATGCAAGGTGGCATTCTTGCATTGCCTACATGAAATAGAACATCGAACAATAATGAAACGTTCACAAAGAATCTATGTGGGATCGTTAATTCGCTGTTTACTTTAATATGTTTTGCCTTGCAAGTTCTGTGCCATAAACTCAGTTAAGGATATCAGTCTCTCGTTAGCGTCTTAAACTATGGTATATTGCCATTTCATGTTCACAAACAAGTTTGTTCTAGCTGTCGTTTACAATTCAATATTTTCATTTTGTTTTTTTATTCTCGTTGACAGACGAAGACGAAATCGATGTTGTGAGCGTAACCGGGGACAAAACAGAAAAAAAGACCACCAGTTTAAAATCAGACACCACCCGCGAGGAAGGGGGAACTTTAAATGTACCACCAAGAAAACTCCGGTCGAGAAAAAACAACAGTGAATCATCAGAGCAGGAAAACGAAGATGGAAATGCACGCATTTCCCACAATGATCTGGAACGAAAACGGCGAAACGATTTGCGACATCGTTTTCAGTCTCTTCGAAAGAGCATTCCGTCGTTAGAGGAAGCTGAACGCGCCGCCAAGATTACTATTTTGAGACGGGCGTCAGACTTGATTCCTTCTCTACAAAAGGAAGAAGAAAGACTGCTAGCCTTGAAAGACGACGAAAAGAAAAGAAATGCTGCGCTTTTGAACACACTCATGAAACTGACAAAGAACAACAAGAGGAGATAATCGAAACTTAATTCATTATCTAACTTAGTTCTATAGAAAAAAATAATGTGATAGTTTCTCCTAAAAGGTTTTGTTTGATACTTTTTTCTAAATGGGAAACTAACTTAACTTGAATCCAGCTTTGTGGCTGCTGCAGATTTTTGATTAATTTAGTGTGCACGTCTCTTACAGACAGATCTCATTACAAATGTAGCTGATATTTCGATAACAATTTTCACAAAGTGTTTGCTACATTTTTTTACGATGTTTATTTTGTTATGGATTTTTCTATACACGCATTTTTTACTGTATTAGGCGAAGACATGACTTGTCAATTTTCCTCGCGTTTCGTTATCAATTTGTTCTTATTATTGTGTTCATTCGAGTCAGAGCTGTAGCCGCGATTGAGACAAAACGTGAAAATTTAGCAGCGATTTTATGTAAATCTCTTACATCAACGTTCATTCTAAATATAATTTTAAAGTTAGATTTAAATTAAGGCAACAGAAAATTTAGAGAGAGAAAAAAGTTCTTACATGTACCTAAAATAAAAAATAATTCAGTACTATAAATATTGTTTGAAACATTATTACCCTCGTTAAATGCTCATCCTATAGTAATTAAATAGGATATAAACTATTATAGCAATAGTTATCAAACTTGGTGTGTAAAGGGTCCAAGCTTATTTACTTCAGCGATAAGCACCCATCAGTCATGACATTACAGAACGCAGAAATGACGCTCAGCCCACATTCCAAAATGTCCGCCATCTTAGGTTTCAAACATTTTCAAAATAACTCCAGAATTGATTTAAAACATGAGAAAAATATAAGGATACAAGAAATGTAAAGAATCCAAACTCGAACTAGAACAGAAATTAGACCTTAAATACACACCAAATTTGGATAAAATAACCTTTGAAAACACAGTTATCATAGAAACGTCTAGTCACGTGGCCAAATAATTGATATACCAAGTTTGACCTCTATTACTCGAATGCTGTTTCAATTTATTTTAAGAAAAGATTTACTTCAGTACGGGCACTCTATTCACCTTGAAGCTAAATGGTGCTGAAGAATTCTGAAGTTTTTGTGCAAGGAAGTGAAGTTTTTCTTAAATGTCCATTCTTTAGAACGTGCTGGCTGAATGTATCCACGACNCGCATCTCTTTGTTCGGCAGTGTACTGGAATTCTAGAGCTTCGGCCAGCGGACAATTCCAAGAACGTTTGGTCATTGATTCAAGTGTTGATTAAACAAAAAAATATATTCTAAATATTAAGTTTCATGCAAATTGTTGAATTGATGAGGGTAGATTCGCTGTTGTGTGGGAAGGTAAATTCCAGAGCTTCATCAGAGCTGTGTGACGCGCTGCCTTAGTGAACCTACTGTCGATATAAACAATAGTGTATATGCCTTCTCGCCGATATTGGATTCATTGAGTAATAAGTAAACGCTTAAGCTTGGGAGATTATTTACTTCAGATGTAGCTTCAGTAAAAGATATTCTTTTAGTTTTGTGTTTATGTGTTCTGTTCTTTATGTGTCCTCGGCTGGTGACCAATGTTATCGGCGCTCCACACCTGCACCTCTTCCTCTTAAACAACAAAAGAAACACGGTTTATGGTAATGTGTAAAAAAAAAACATTACACTAAAGCACCTTCGAGAGTATTTCGCTCCACTCCAGTTGCCGAGAGAATCGTATCATTTGGTTAGAAATGGTACAATTCCTCGGTGTTGCCAGTTTATGTGAAGGAAATTCGTCTTGATTTCGTGTTGCATTCGTGACATGGGGTCTTGTGGAGAAATGTTTGTAGTTTGGTTTAACTTTTCTGAGTTATTAGTAGTGTCTCTGTCGGTTATTAAGTACGAGCGATGAATCAGGTGCCTGTCTCATTTTAGGACGGAAGAGAGAATCAACTTGACAGGTCCAACTATAAACACGCGTTTGTCAAATTGTGAAGAGTGCTAATTAAACCCTGGCCATGGAGACGTTGTCGGAAACAAAGAAACTGGTGCCACCTTCATAATTCAACACTGGAGCGTGCTTTTTTATGTGCTCGCTTTTCCCTCGTGTTTTGATGGTAAATCACTTCCACCAGTTAAAACTAATTTCAGATCAGAGCAGATTTTAGCGAGCTAAGGTCAATATCCAGCCCAAGGTTGTGCCCAGCCACTTTGTGGTTCTCTCTTTTTTTGCAATTTGCCAGAGGTCTTTTGATCTCTTTGGACTTACACGAAACTTCTTGCTTCTCTGTTGGAACGCGCACAGTCATCTGACGCTCATTTAAATGGCTTTGTTTCCGCAGTGGGCTGGCCCATGGAAAGTTATTTGAATTTGCATTGTTTACCTGTAGGTCTTTTAAATACACGTGCGTCCGTTAAATCTCCACTCATTTGGAACAAACCATGCAACCGGATGAGCAGATTCGAATGCATCTTAACCCAAGCGATAAGATGATGATGAATCGCTCTTCACACTTTGACCCTCCACCATCTTCTTCGCCTCTTGCTTCTTTTAAAGACAAGTTCGAATTTCCAGCCTCGCAAGGCTTGTGGACTGCATTTTCGTTTCCTACCCCGCCAACTTCTCCAGTGGAATGCTGCAGCAACTGTCAAGAGGTAACGAGGGAGATGCGCTGGCATGCGGCCTCGGGTCCTTGGGGAGAGACGAGGGAAATATCGGACGATGAACTCGAAGTTGATGACGTTCCGTTCGAATTTGCGCGGGAACTGTTTGGAATGCGCGCCAAATCTCCCGCCATCCTCAATGACATAATGTGGAGTGGTGATCGTGTCAGGAGGCCAGATTCTACCACGGATTTCGAAACTAGGTTCAGCTTGTCTTCGACTCCGATATTTTTTGAACAGCCGATAAGCCACACGTTTGTGGAGCCTGAGGAGCTGTTTTCGTTTTCTTTGTTGAGCCACTGCCACGATCAGGCCGACGATATGTTAGCCGAGAGACTCGAGAACGATGGTGTTGTCTTTGATATACCAATTCAGGAGAATCCGTCAGACACAGGTATTCCTCTAGCCAAATGTGTTAATCAATCACCTTGTAATCTCTTACATTAAACTGTGAGCAACTTGCCAAAATCGGCGGTTTTTTAAATCTGCGGGTAAGCGTAATTTCGCTCACGTGTAAAATTTTACGTTTCTGTTTTGGTCTGTTGGTCAGTTATCCGAATTATTGGTCAAGTGCCACCAGATCTTATGTTGATTATGCTTTCAAACTTGCACGGTAACCATTAATCCTTCGCAATTTTGTGAACTAAGAACACCTTAAATGCAAGCTATGTTAGTTTTTTAAAGTTCAGACAATAGTTTTAGATTTCACAAAGATCACCACCAGCTAAGTAATCCGTTAGAGAGTAAGTTCTCATTGTTCAATGGACACGAGGAACTTGTTTGTTTGTTTTTTCCGCCTCAAAAGAATTTGGTTTTAGATGTCCGAAATGTTGTTATCGCAGTCCAGGGTCATCTTTGTCGCGTCTATCAAGTCTAACATTGGCACATTTTAACTTCACACAGACAAGTGTAAAGCTTTACGCATTTATTAACGGAAGACTTCTTCTTTAGCTAGTTGAGTTTAATTTAGTTATCATTTGCTTGTTTTTATTCGAGTACTTTTAAATATGGCTTTTATTAAGCTTTACGCAAATTGTGTCCTGCTGTTAATAAAGAATTCATGCCTTTGTCTTGCTTGTAATTAAAAGTGAGATGTAAAGAACAGAAAAATAGCGGAATCACTGTTGGATGGGGTGATATTTTTCGCTGACTTCTTCAATGCAAGGTGGCATTCTTGCATTGCCTACATGAAATAGAACATCGAACAATAATGAAACGTTCACAAAGAATCTATGTGGGATCGTTAATTCGCTGTTTACTTTAATATGTTTTGCCTTGCAAGTTCTGTGCCATAAACTCAGTTAAGGATATCAGTCTCTCGTTAGCGTCTTAAACTATGGTATATTGCCATTTCATGTTCACAAACAAGTTTGTTCTAGCTGTCGTTTACAATTCAATATTTTCATTTTGTTTTTTTATTCTCGTTGACAGACGAAGACGAAATCGATGTTGTGAGCGTAACCGGGGACAAAACAGAAAAAAAGACCACCAGTTTAAAATCAGACACCACCCGCGAGGAAGGGGGAACTTTAAATGTACCACCAAGAAAACTCCGGTCGAGAAAAAACAACAGTGAATCATCAGAGCAGGAAAACGAAGATGGAAATGCACGCATTTCCCACAATGATCTGGAACGAAAACGGCGAAACGATTTGCGACATCGTTTTCAGTCTCTTCGAAAGAGCATTCCGTCGTTAGAGGAAGCTGAACGCGCCGCCAAGATTACTATTTTGAGACGGGCGTCAGACTTGATTCCTTCTCTACAAAAGGAAGAAGAAAGACTGCTAGCCTTGAAAGACGACGAAAAGAAAAGAAATGCTGCGCTTTTGAACACACTCATGAAACTGACAAAGAACAACAAGAGGAGATAATCGAAACTTAATTCATTATCTAACTTAGTTCTATAGAAAAAAATAATGTGATAGTTTCTCCTAAAAGGTTTTGTTTGATACTTTTTTCTAAATGGGAAACTAACTTAACTTGAATCCAGCTTTGTGGCTGCTGCAGATTTTTGATTAATTTAGTGTGCACGTCTCTTACAGACAGATCTCATTACAAATGTAGCTGATATTTCGATAACAATTTTCACAAAGTGTTTGCTACATTTTTTTACGATGTTTATTTTGTTATGGATTTTTCTATACACGCATTTTTTACTGTATTAGGCGAAGACATGACTTGTCAATTTTCCTCGCGTTTCGTTATCAATTTGTTCTTATTATTGTGTTCATTCGAGTCAGAGCTGTAGCCGCGATTGAGACAAAACGTGAAAATTTAGCAGCGATTTTATGTAAATCTCTTACATCAACGTTCATTCTAAATATAATTTTAAAGTTAGATTTAAATTAAGGCAACAGAAAATTTAGAGAGAGAAAAAAGTTCTTACATGTACCTAAAATAAAAAATAATTCAGTACTATAAATATTGTTTGAAACATTATTACCCTCGTTAAATGCTCATCCTATAGTAATTAAATAGGATATAAACTATTATAGCAATAGTTATCAAACTTGGTGTGTAAAGGGTCCAAGCTTATTTACTTCAGCGATAAGCACCCATCAGTCATGACATTACAGAACGCAGAAATGACGCTCAGCCCACATTCCAAAATGTCCGCCATCTTAGGTTTCAAACATTTTCAAAATAACTCCAGAATTGATTTAAAACATGAGAAAAATATAAGGATACAAGAAATGTAAAGAATCCAAACTCGAACTAGAACAGAAATTAGACCTTAAATACACACCAAATTTGGATAAAATAACCTTTGAAAACACAGTTATCATAGAAACGTCTAGTCACGTGGCCAAATAATTGATATACCAAGTTTGACCTCTATTACTCGAATGCTGTTTCAATTTATTTTAAGAAAAGATTTGCTTCAGTACGGGCACTCTATTCACCTTGAAGCTAAATGGTGCTGAAGAATTCTGAAGTTTTTGTGCAAGGAAGTGAAGTTTTTCTTAAATGTCCATTCTTTAGAACGTGCTGGCTGAATGTATCCACGACAAGCGTACATTAAGGCTGACGTAGGTTGTCACTTCAGGGTGGTGGAGAGGACTCTTGTTTGCTAGTACTGGCCGCATAAAAGCCTTATACCAAGTATAAGGCTATGTACGCCCACGTGAGGTGTGATATATTTAGCAAGCAGTAACTCTCTCGGATAGACAAGTGGGTGCGATCGAAGAGTAAAGGGGAACGATCCTAATTTTCGTTTGCAGTCTACATGGCTGATTTTTTTTCATGGACCAGTGATACCAAATTTCTTTACCATCCTCTGTGTATGTAGTTCAGGCGTATCTGTTTGAGAGTCGTGCAAATTAACCTGATCCTTTGTTCTTTGAAAAGCGAAATGAGTTAAAAGTTCCATGTGGAACATGCCAACTGTTTCCGGTTTCGTTTTTGTTTCGTGTATAAGCGATTGCAAGCCGGTGTTATGTTGAGAGGGGATGTTAAACGATTTGCTGCTTCGATATAAAGTTAAAATCGAATGAATCGTCTTTTATGTGATGTAAGGGCCTGTTTACAAGGAGGGAGGGTTACCCTAGGAAGCGGGTTACCCTAGCAGGCGGGTTACCCTAGCAAGCGGGCTACCCCAGCAAGCGGGTTACCCTGGCACTCAAACATTTCCTCTTTTTTTCTTCGTCGTGTTTACAAGGCAGCTAGGGTTACCCGGGTAGGTGGGTAGGCGGGTAGGCGGGTACCCTATCTACGTGCTAGGGTTACCCTGGCAGGCGGGTTAACGTTTTTCCTTGTAAACTCTCCGGGTAGGGTTAACCCGCCCACCCGGGTTAACTTTCTATTGTTTCCAGACCGTTTGAGCGTAACCGCGCATTAAGTTGGCCCGGGTTGTAGAGTTACCCTACCTGTGAAATTTTGCTTGTAAACCCTGGCTATCTTTTGCCCTCCAGCTAGGGTTAACCCGCTTGCTAGGGTAACCCCCCCTCCTTGTAAACAGGCCCTATTACCTCCTTAAATCTCACACCTCTTGGCTTTTAAACAGGCTGTTCTTGTGATACAGGAAATGATAAAACCTCCTCTAGGAGAGCACACTGCTCAGTGAGCATGACCCTTTAACAATCATTAGAGTTTTACCCACTGTGCTATCGCATTTTGAATGCCTGGCCAGTGATAGTTCATTCACCTATTTCTCTGCATTTTGCAAGACGTATAGAACAAGTGAGGTTTTGGAAATACTGTTTTCAAAAAGATCAAAGTTCTCTTTGGTGTCGGGTCCATTTTAACACCCAGTGTGTATTTCAGTACCGAAAGTATGATAACTGTGTCTTAGTTTTATCCTTAATCCTTAAATCCCTAGTTTTTGAGTAGAAGAAAGAAAAAACTTCTAAGTATTGCACTTAAAATATTCGAGCAGCTTTGGCAGCTCACACGGAGGATAACAAAGCAAACAATCACACTAAAGAGAACAGCTCACTTCAATGACGTAATAAGCGCGTGTTTCACGTGCTTTGCACACCGGTACAGTGCTTTTGCGCTCAGATCCTTTTGAGAGATGTTTATTCATTGTAGGTTTCACGTTGTGTTAATAATATATCGATGCCTTAAATTTTTCCGGCCCTTTAGTACAGGTACCAGTTATGCAAATGTAGCCTGAATAGATATTTGTCTCTTGAGGTAATTACTCCGGAAATTCATAGCAGATTTTAAATATTAACACATCGTGCTGCTGTATCTAACTCTAAACAGGTCTTGATTTTACTCTAGTTTAGGCGCTGTTTAAAGGTATCGTTTCCTTTCCTTGTGATCATATAAATTATAATTGTATTTATGATAATTTGTTGCTTTCATAACATCTTGCAAATCAACCGTTTATTTATTGTATTTATCAGGTAAAGCAACTCCATTCCGCGTCTCCAGCCAAGTAAAGTTGCGATCAGTGCAGTTTTAAAAGAAATAAATAAATAAATTATCTTGGTGTTACTGTTTTGTTAACACCCGACTCACTGTGGTGACTTAAAATTCGCCATATTGCATCTCCCAACATATCCATTTTAAAGAGTTTCGGAAGCCAAACACCCTACAAAATTCCTGTTCTCCGCCAGTTTGAACCTTTACCAACCCTCGAACGGAATATTCAAGACAGAATCCTGAGTAGACACAGATTAGCCTTTGTTGGTCAATGTACCCAACTGAAATGTGAACTTGCAGAAATAAAATGTTAGCAAATATGTTCTGATTGACCGATCGTTCTTGAGAGTATTACTCGGAATTTGAGGCCATAATTCAAGGCCTTTCGTCCAGTTCATGTCCAGGCCTTAAGCTAGAAAGTTTCCGGTCAAAATAGAAAATGATATGTTACTTAGCAACGTCCTGCGATGTCATTCAACTCTCCGAAATGTAACAGTGACCAAGAAAGGTACTTAGTCCCCAGCTCAACACAAGGACGTAATGGAAGGTAGAGGAAGATGGCTGATGTCCCAATACAAATTATCTCTGTTTTTTTTTTCTTTCTAACTGTATATTTTGCTGTAGAGCGATTGTTCACCATAAGAAAAGATCTCACATCACTTTTGTCGCACAGGTGCAGCCGGTTATTCGTTACAAAATATAAAATCGCCCAAGATGACCTGGTGAAGTTATTGAGGTAAAGTAGTAAGTAAAGTCTGCATGCGAGCCAAGTGGCCCATCAGGCCGGAGCTTATCCCGGTTTCTGTAGCATGAAGCGACTAGGAGTATTTCTACTCCCCCCTGGATGAGATGCTAGTCCNTACAATGTCCCCGGCCAGGGCTCGAACCCGGACCGCTCGATCCGGAGACGAGCGCACTAACCATGAGGCCACCGCATTGAGGGTTGCTGCCAAACCCCAACTCTTTCAGGTCAGCGGATATCTTTATGAAACGAGTCTAACACTGTTTATTAGCAAGGTTTTCTTTACAACCACAGGAAGTGTTCATGCAAAGGTGCATGATGTAATGTTTTCAACGTGGACTTGGTAGGACGTTATCAACGATTCGCAGAGATGTTATCCGGTAACTAAGCGTTTTGAGAAAAAAACAAATAAAACTGGTGTCTTAATGCTCTCTATGTGTGCATGTGTTTTCTTTGTCTTTAAAATTTCTGAATGTCTGAACCGACTCTGATGTAGTCTATAGTTCCAAATGTTTGAAAATAACGCAGTTGCAAGGTGCAGCAGTGCTAATAGAGCAACATTAAAGGATGTACCACTGTTTTCTGACTGTATGAAACAAGCTAATGTTTTTTTGCTGTTATGGCGGCCTGCTAGCATCGTTACATCGCTGTGTGTTGTGTGTTGCTGTTATTACTGCAAACATTCTGCTTAACTCTCCAATGCCGTCTCATCATTTCCTTAGAAAAGCRGTCCTATAAAACACAAGCTTCTAATCAACATTTCTAATTGTTTAATTAAACAACGCTATCAAGAAGGCAGCTTGTGTAGGTGAAAATATTTTCGCCTCCTGTAAAATCGACGGTCTCTGCTTTGATTCTATCCGGGATTCACGTATGGCCCGAGTTTATCCAAGCTGGTTACCCCAGGTTCCGCTTTTTTTCGAAGACGTCTATGTTTTTGGTTTTCTGTCCTCTTTGTCAATGAGCACTTTTAAATGCCACGTCATTGTTTTATTTGGGATCCGAAGCCACAGGCGTTAGTCGCAAAACTTCAAGTGACACATTTAAAAAATATATATTTATTGCGATTGAAAAGCTCTCGGAATCTTGGCGTGGGCTATCGTATGTACATGTGATACAAGTGTTCCATTCTCAAATTACTTCGTATCGAAGAAACTACGGATCAAGTTTGATAATACTAGGCTTTGTTATACGATTGTCTGTGAGATGTGTCAAGTCGGCTGTCACTCACTTGTGAGGCTGCGAAGTCGTTCGCACTCGTGGGACAAAGTTATTTAATTGCTTTCTTGCGTTTTCTTCTTTTGGCGGGTCTTCCAGTTATTAGTTCATTGAGTGAAAAACAGTGCAAAACACAGTGAAAAACAAAGTTATGAACATATACAAGTGAATATATGAAATATCATATATTTGAACAGCGGAGAAAGATGTGAAGTCATGATCGATCCTCGCAGTTGTGCACACAAGTTGTGCATAACTGCGATGATCAATCATGTCTTCATGAAGTTATAAACAGTGAAAAACAGTGAAAAACTGGTCCTTTGTCGTTCATGCCCCCCCCCCCCCACCTGTGTTGTTTGTTCTGTTCTTGTCTTGTTTTGTTTTAAGTGAATGAAACAAAAAGCAGACTTATGATAATAATGAAAGTCTGCCGTTTAAACGCTAACCGGGCTTGTGTCCACTAATTTTAGAAAGTTGATGATGGCATGAGCTTGTGAATTAGTATTTTAGGATCTCCTGATATTTTTAGTTTCTTCAGAATTTTAGTCTACTATACTAGAATGTGTGAAGATTTGTAAATTTTACTGAATAAAGTTCTTGTCATTAATACCCATTTATTTATTGAAACTGCATAAAGATTCGTGTTACAGTGTGTACCTTTTCGTTAACAAAGTGAAAATGACATTTGTCATGAATGTATAATATTACAGAGCATAAATGTTACTGAATTTCGTGTTAATTGAGAATGTTTTTTTCCTGTTAAATGTGTAATAGTTACGTTTTAGTATGTAACGGAGGAACCATGCGTCATGATCATTTGGACGCTCCAGAAAAACAAATGCCAGTCCGGAATATCCCGATATTTAGGACATCTGTGGTGTCACGAAACTCACGTTTCAACCAATGAGAATGCGTGTTTTGGTTGGAGTGTTGTGTTTCACAACAAACTTTTAACAACACTAGAACCAGTAAAAAATATACACAGCTCAATGAAAAATACGTGAATACTAGAAAATAACTCGTACTCTTTACTAACCTTAATATTTGGCCACGAAATCGCGTCTAAATCGTCGCTTGACACCAAAAAAACTCGATGATTAGAAGACAGTCAACGTTCTCCCACTACCGAAATGGCCGCTTATTCTCCTTCTCAACGTTTGGTCGCAAAAAGTCCTGGATAATGCTGGCCAGACTCTATGCGAGACTGGAAACAACATATTTTCTTTGTCCTCATAAAAGGTCCGCCATTTTCCCTGCTAACAATAGCTTCACGACGTCATGACCGTCCTAATTTATCGGGATATTCCGGACTTTTAGGGGGTTGTTTCTGTTTCCCTCGTTTCCAATATCTGCGTAAAACTTAAGACGCTTTTTTCATTTGGTCTCCAAAAGCGACGGTTCATTTCGTGTGGAATTTACTAATTTTCAGTTATCCTTTGTTCAGCCAAGTTTGGCGGCTTTTGTTTTTTTCGATGCCGTGTGTAAATGCAGTTTTCTTACAGTTTTTCTTAAACTTTCAGAACCTCTCATGTTTACATATCATATAAATATAGTGAATCTTGTTCTACACGGGTCTTTTCTGAGGTAAAAATGTTTTTAAAACACGACGTATCGGAGTTCCAGCCAAATATGGCGGTCTTTGTTGTCTTCATCGTAAATTGATGAATAACATATTTTCCTAGTCGAAAGTGTGTGGAGCTTAAGAAAATATCCTAACAATATTAAGTTACATTTTTTTTTCGATTAACTATT